ATCATTTTAGTTGCTTTGGAGAGGTTACGGTGATAACAAGCTGGAGTTTTTGTTGTTCTTCACCCGTCTGCCTTGGAGCATTCGTTATGTTACAGATGTGCATGAAGTGACCATTATCTTATCTTCTCTAATCTGTGATTATTTATAAAGTATCCTATATTCCTGAGCCTGTGTTTTATCAGAAAGTACAGCTCTTAGACTTGGTAAATAATTTACTGTTATGATATGATCGTGCAAACAGGTGCTTCCTAAGCTATTTATTATTGTTTGCTTTATTTTTCTTAAGTAAGAAGTTGTCCATATAACACTATGAATGAACTAGGCGATTCACAGACATGGACTAAAAGGTATGTCCTATTTCAAAGAGCTTCTAGACAAACAAAGAGATGAAGGAAAACACTAAGCCAAACCCCAGTTTAGCCAATGTGGTTGCTGCTGGCTATGAGACTCCTGCTTGGATGGGAGGAGAGCCATCAAAAGCCTTGCAGAGTATAGATGTTACATGTGTGATGCTCAGAACATACAAAGGCTTCTCACAGTATTTACAAATAGACTCTCTTTATAAATTAATATCCTCAGTATGTTTGTCCATAGCACAGACTGAGTTATTCACAGAAACAACTACTGCATCATTGTTTAGATTTTAAGTTTCAGAGGAGCTTCAAAATATTTTATATTGTGTTTTAAGTTCATAGAATGTATATCAGGAGTTACCTCAGGCTGCCTTTGACTATTTTTCTTCATTTTTCCAGTACAAAACTGTCTTCCATTTTTACATTCCTCCGCCTATTTCTCTGTCAAGTGGAAGGTAAACCTTAATCTTAAAACCTATGCTCTCTTTTTTCTTTTTACTTCATTTTTTCCTTTAACCTTACCTGGAAAATGCATTGCTGAAGCTGTTGAGAATTCTTCCAAATAAAGCCATTCATCAACATTATACATCAGAAACTCAACCTCTTTACCTACTTAACAGCAAAAAAATACATGCTATTGCCAAGATAGATTTAAAAAGTTGAAGTCTAGGTAGCTGCTTTATTACCAGGAGTTACTAATGGCAGTATATATTTTGAGTATCAGAGTAATAGTCAAACCTATAAAAGTGATCGGTGACTGCTTGATATCAATGATGGTTTCAAAGTTTGTCTCAGGCGTTCGCGGTGAGTCCAGCACTTGTCTGAGTCTGAGAAGGGCAATAGAGTGGCCGTGGGCTTAGAGGGAATTGGATCTCAGCTGTGACCAGCTGGAAGAGATGGGAACGAAATAATGAAAGTGATAAAGAGCCATGACTGTGTTGTAGGAGTTAATGGCGTCCAGATTTCTACACCTCCTCCTCCCCCAAAAAAAGGTTAATACAAGAAACTTGGAGAAGTCTTCAACTATAAATTATGTCTTCAATCCAGTTATATCCTGTGGAGCATATTGGGATGAATTGGCTGAATTATATGCTATAGTCCACGCCAGCTCGGTGCCTGCTGTCATCAGAAATATTTCTGAAAGCTTGAAAGCTAGTATGTTGCATCCATTGAATGTGTTCCTTAGGACTCTAAGAATGTGATTTATTTTAGGTTCTTTTTTTTTTCCAAGACCTGTAAATACCGTCAGAGGCAGTAAACCGTCCCTGGATTATTGCAAGGATAGAATATGCTGTATGTGGTGTACTATCCCTGTGGTGTCAGGACTGCAACTGCCTTGGCAGTTCTTGGAGTTTCCGACTTATACAGAAATGAGAAGGGCTTGAGATGGTCATAGAGCATCAGAGTTTGGCTCTGAGGCTCTTGAGAGTTAGTAGATCTTGTAAACATCCAAGCTTGGCAGCACCAACCTGAGCTGGATGACTGAAAGGCTGAGTCCATTCCCAGAACCCAGTGTTTGTTGGGAACTGGGAGTGCAACTGCGGATCAGGTGGGACACAGTTACCTTTTACCTCTCAGATCTTGGACAGGTTTGGGGCATGAAATAGAGAGAACACATGTAGAAAGTCTTCTCCTAAGAAGCAAGCTGCAGAAAAAAGCCTCTGGAGCACGAAGGTCAGGCTCTGGATCTGTAATAGATGCTGGCTGTACTTAGTTTCATAGGTACCCGACCTCCTTCATCATGCCCTACTCCTTTAGATGTAGCTGTGTCCTTCTAACCTGCTTGTGCCAGAGACACTGCTGTGACCTGTATTCCTTAACAATGAGGAGGCAGCAAGGACAGCAAGGGTTAAGTGCTGGCAGGACTTTGTGAGCTCTTGAGAACTGTGTCCTCAGCAGGGTCCGTGCCAGCCTATGTCTGATAGGCTGATACATACCAGCATATGTCTGATGAACATCTCCAGTGCTAATGCTGTAGGAGATGTCCTCTTTGCTCCTTGTCACAAATGCATGATTTCTGCTCTTAAAGCAGAGGACAATGAAAACTTCCTTCACCTCATTCACTGGAGAGGCCTTTCACATCCCACTGGATGATTAGGTACCTTCCTTTGAAGCAAATCCTTGGCTGCTTAGGGAAAGCAATAAGCCCTCAACAGCCTCTTTCACCACTCCACTTCAAGGGAGAACTTTATGGTCTCTCCTCCAATTATTTACACCATTCTATACCAGTTGATATTTTTATGATTCCTTTTGTGAACTGCACCTTGAAATGCAGAGGGTCTCCCCTTCCACCGCAGCCGGGCTGGCCAGCGGTGCAGGATACAGCCGAAGAGACGTACACACCTTGCAAAAGCCAGTCCTCCTGGTTTGCACGCAAAGACTTGGCAACACAAAAGAACAAAAGTCGTTCAAACCAAAATTGCCTGTTTGCTTTTTGTGTTTGGAGAAATACAGCGTGTGTAGTCCCAACAGAGGCATCTTGCAGCAAGAGCTGAATTCTGCCTTTGCATCTCAAAAGCTGGAAGTCACGCAGGCCCAGAGAGTAACGTTAAAAAAAACAACCCAAGAACCTGCCAGAAAGAATTCACAATAAAGGGAGAGACTTTTTTCCTTGTGACTAAAACACCTGTCACGGCTGCCAGGACTCTGCTAATTACACAATAACTTTATTATATCCCGCTTGGAAGAACAAACAATACTTAGCTCCAAAAGTGAGCAGCCTTTAGACTAGATTAATGCAGGCAGAATGACTGCACGGAGCCAGTGTTCACCCTGTCCTCCCAGAAGCTCCAGAGAGTAAAATGACTTGAAGACTCCCCTCTTTGTTGCTAGTGGTGCATAATAAAGTAATTGTACAATTAGAAGTAGATTACTGATGGGAGAGAGGCATTTTCTGTGAAATGTAGGTAAAAGACAGGCCTCTGAATAGGTTCGAAGCCTCAATGCAGCATCTCTGCTGCTCATTTTTATTTGAGCTTCTGATAGCCTTTGGAGCATCCAGACAGGAGAAAAGGGGTGTTTCTAACTGAGTGTGGGTTTTTTTCCCATGTGAATATATAAGGGAAGTCCTTATGGAAGGTTGCAGCATGGTCCCCGCATTGCCCAGCTCTTTGGGATCCTGTGTTTACGCAGCATGAAGATAGAGCATGGATTAGGGGGTTTCATCTCATGATGGAGGTGTTTGTGATGTCAATTTGCAGGTTGAACCCCAGAACAGGTGAGAATGGGTGGAAGTGGGGAATAAGGTATTAAGGCCTGATGACCCCTGAGGTTTCCAGCCTTGGCAGCTGATAGCAAAGGCTGAAATTAGAAGGTCTAAAAATAAAATAAAGTATAAGCCAAAAATCAGGGTACAGCTGAATATTATGAAATAGCTCTGTGTGGGAAGAAGGTCTTGGCTTTCAGGTATGGATGCTCTTTCCTTCATCACTTTTTACTTATGGGAACAAACCTGCTTTTGGTTAGGGCAAGATTGAAGTGGTGATGCTCTTGAGCACAGGCAGTTGAGTGAAAGAGTCATGGCTGGGGCAGGAGGCTGAAGGAGGTGGAGCACGGTTGCAGACTGGCCATCTTCAGAGGGGAGATCAATGTGGGTGCATTTGGGCACGCTGATGTTTTGGGGACCTTCTCTGTGGAGGTAGACAAGGATACGTAAATGGGTGCTGGGAGACTTGGGGAAAGGCAAGTGGACCGTGCTGAGGGCTCCTTGCTCATGGAGCAGCAACTTCAGGACTTTGTCTGGGGGTCAGGTGCAGAAGGACCACCTCAAACTCTTTACCAGGTCAGGTCCCTCTCAGCCTGGCAGGGATTGATAACAGGTCCCATGAGCAAGCAGCAGATGGGGAATTGGGAGTTTAGAAGTACTTGAGATGGTGGTAGATGAGTTAGAGGAGGCAAGGAGGAGAGAATCTTCTGGCTTTGCTGCATCTCAGCCTAAAGATTGTGATGCTGTCTTCTCCATATCTTGCTGGGATCTTGCCTGTCTAATGGTGCTGTGAGATTTTTGGGCTCAGCAGGGTAAGGGGGAGATGTTGCCGTTTATGGTGGTGGTGGGAGGCAGCATGAGCTGAGCAGGATCTGCTCCAGTATATCATGGTTCCTTGTAGGTATTAGCCTCACTGAGTGGCTTTGTGTGTGTGCCTGAGTGAAACTTGAGGATGGAAAACAAGACAGGCAACACACTGAGCAAGAGAAATGGTGTGACTATGTGTTTAGGATGAAACAGATCTTCTTTAAGGATGATGTTTCTTCAGTCCGAGCTCAGTTCTGTATTCTGCAAAGCTTGTAATGCCAGGGTATACAGGCACCACAGTGACTGGTCTGTTTCATGACAGCCCTAGGAGAGGACTTTGTGCAGGACTCACCTCTGATGTGATGTCGCCTGTAGCTACTTTAATCCCTGCAGGATTGTTAGCCTTGTACCCCAAAATCAGGAAAAAAACTTGAAGTGTTGTTCTCCACCCTATGAGCTGCCTGGAGGAATGCCCTGGGGATGGGACAACTTCCAGGAGTGCTAGGACAGGCATCCTGTCCAGGGGCTGGTGGTGATCCACTGCTGACCCACAGAGATCCATACCCACGTGGTCAGCAGGTCTCGCGGGTCCCCTTTCCCCTGTTGTGCCTGACGGATGTGCATGGTGTTTGCAGGTCCTGTGGCGGTGATCAGCGGAGAGGAGGATTCAGCCAGTCCCCTCCACCACATCAACCACGGCATCACGACGCCCTCGTCCCTGGACGCTGGCCCAGACACGGTGGTGATCGGCATGACCCGCATTCCCGTCATCGAGAACCCTCAGTACTTCCGACAAGGTCACAACTGCCACAAGCCAGACACGTGTGAGTGCCCGTTCCAGCCAGAGCCTCCTGCAAGGACCAGGAGATGGGGTGGGGGTTCGGGGGAAGGAGGTCAAGGAAGAAGAGGTTAAGAGGATGAGGAAGAAGAGAAGGAGGTTTTTGAGGAGAGTTGGTCTTGGTATGGTCCAGAAACCAAAGTGAATCTCAGGTCTCAGAAATCACGACATACATGTAGGTGCTTCCAGAGAAGACTTTCCACTCTCACCTTCACCTCCCTTCACCCTCCCTCCGCCACTCACCAGTCACCTTCCTTCCTTGCCTGAAAGTGCCATTTGAAGCCAGGCTCTGCCTCCTTGGCTCCGAGCACGAGGTCCCAGGTGTGAGCAAGGGCTGCCCAGGAGCGCGGGGATGGAAGTGACCCCTGCCTGGCCGCGGAAAGGACCTGCCTCCTCTTCCTCCTCCAGCCGTTTCCCAGCCGTGGGGCTGCCTCCTTGGCTCTCCGCTGGGCCAGAGAGAAGCTCAGAAAACATGGCCGTAGATAGGGCAGATGAGTGCAGATAAAGAACAGGAGGCTTAGATGCTGGTTGTCTTGTTTTTGTGGGCTTCTGAAAAGTTTTTGCAGCTTCCCTGTTAGAAATACGGGTTGTGAACTGGGCTCGTTAGACTAGCAGGTGGCGATCAAGTGGTCCTCTCTGTTTTGCGCTCCTAAACTCCGAGCATAAATGCAAAGCGCTGGATAAGGTTGCGGGAAGTGCTGCACTGAAGTCGCCTCCATTCTCCCCTTGGCTGCTGCTGACTCATGAGCGCAGGAGACATAACTCAGCCCCTGGAAACAGGGAGGAGGCCGATCTCCCAACCTGCAGAAACTCATTCAGCATTAAGCGCTCAGCAGGAGCGCGCTGCTCCCTGGCCACCGCTCCTCCCGTCGGGATGAGGAGCTGCAGCCGCTGCTCCCGTGGAGGTGTCCCTGGGATAGCCCTGGGCGCTGCGAGCCGGTGCCCGAGCCGGGATCACCGTGCTTCACTTGCTGGAGCGATGGGCTGTGCCTGATGAACGCGCCTGGCTTTCCCTTTGATTTTCATTTCAACGTGCTAAATTCCATCTGTTTGTGAAGAGGGGGAGGAGGAGGGCGGTGATCAGGCAGGAGCGGAGAAGCTGACTGCAGCGTGGTTTTTCTGTGCCGTTAATTATATATTTTATGTTTCTTATAGCACCTCATCTCAAAATGATTTACAAACTCTGATGGCTTGGGAAGGGGGGGCTCCCCCGCTTTATTTTTTTCCTTCCCTTCCTGTGCTTTCTCAATCTCTTTATGCGCCGACCACTGCAAGACGTGGGTGCTGTTGCAGCTGTGCAGCAGCAGAGCTTAAACCTGGAAAGCTTAAGTTGTGCTCTGAGCATTTGCCCTTTGGGGCTCGTTAGAGCCAGGCAGGTTGCAGGGGAAGTCGCTCGCAGCAGGATTTAGCGTCAGAGTTTCACTGGGCTGTTTGATTGGGATCAGAAGAGTTCATGGAGATGCATGAGGGTGGCATCTGGAGCCGCTTCTCCCATGGAAGTTGCCACAGGGGAGAAATGCAGTACTAGTGACAACTGCCGTGCTTGGAAATCCACGGCAAATCACCACCCCTGAGCTCCAGGTTTCCCAGGACTGCGAGGCAGCAGGGCTGAAACCAAACCCTATTTGGGTGCTAACAAGAGGCAAACCACAGCTTGATGCTGGCAGGCTGAATGCCCTTTTTTCATTTTTTCTGTCATTCACGGGGCAAAATCCAGGTTTCAAAACCTCAGGCAGGGTTGGATTTGGTGTGTGTATTGTATTTTAGTCCCCAGGACTTGGGCAAAACTCCTGACTTCACTGGTGGCTTTGCTTGAGGCTGGAAAATTTCATAATTCACCTTTTAAATTAACCATGCTTTGGGGATCTTTCGCTGTAAGGGGTTTGTTTGATCTGATGTACTCTGCTCGGCTTAAACCTGAGCTGGAGAATGTTTGTTGCTCCCGTTCTCCCCGTGGTTTTGATGCTGGAGGGTTTTTCTTTCTTCTTGTGCAGAGCTTGGACACAAACACTTCTTCGTTTGCTGTCGCTTGTAGAAAGAGCTCCTCTGGGCTGGGCAGTGCCTTGATACCCAGCTGAGCCTGTACTGATGCAAGCTGTCATCTCCCTCCTGCCACCCACCTCCCACAGAGCTGCTGTGTCCAGCTGTGAGCAAAGGTGCTATGTGGCACCCAGTGTGTCTCCTTTTCACGGAGGTGTTGCTAGAGCAAGATCTTGAGCAAGCGATTTCTCTCTCCATCATGAAGTTTTTCTCCTTCCTTCCTCCTGTAAGCATCCCTGTGCTCTTGGATGTTGTCTGGGTTGAGGACATGCCGATAACCATTACCATGCTGCAATGAGGAGAGCAAACTCTATATGCTTAATGCAGTATTAATAGTACATTGATGTGATATAGATTTCTGTCACCCTCTATACTAGCAAACATCGCTTATCACGCAGGGATGACGGATGTTTATTCCCAGCCACTTAGCTCTGCATAATGGAATTGCAGCAGAAATATGGAGAGCAGCTCCCTGCCCACAGAGCTGCAGCCCCTCTCGCTCCTGCCTTGCAGTGCTGTCCTGTGGGCTCTTCTCATTAACATGTCCTCAAGGAGATAGAGGTGTTCGTCCTTGGGGATGTGCTCTCACCTCTGGCTTTCTGGGATTTGTGCAGTTGTCTCTTATCCCCTTTCTGCTACTGCCCAATTTAGAGGAGCAAGGAGGACAAGCTTTTCTCGGGGTCCTCTTTC